TGACATTTTGTCAGACCTCAGTGGTGATTGGGAGGTGATGCTTAGGTATAGGCATTTGTATAGGAATACATGCTTGGTGGCCTTTCCCCCCCCCCCCAACATTTGTTACATACTGAGGTTTTGGTCTATTTTTTTTCTTACCAAGAATTAGACTTAAAATTTATATAAAATCAAAAGTTACAGGGATTATACTATCTTCTGATATCTTCATTTTTTCTCCTTTGTTAGCATTTAGGGCATACCCCATCACTCCAATTGCCTCACAAGTAGACATTTCCCAGTCAAATAAGATATGGCCTAAGGAAATGGCACATAAGTATAATTTTAGTGAAATAACAGAAACAAAGTTCTAGTGGGTTGAAGAATAAATGGGAAATACAGAAATGGATATAAGAAATGAATACCAAAATTTCTGGAAGCTCCACAGTAACCAAATGAGGAATTCAGTGCTGTTGCAAGAACTAGATTGAATGAAAAAAATAAAGGCCAAATATAATTATTACAGACCTAATTTTTAAAAATTATGACTATTTTAAGCACTTATGATGCTTAAAAATATTTTTCAAATCTGTATTTTTATGTTCTATGTAACTCACGTAACATGAGTTCTCATTAAACTTCATTTTTACTTATACAACCATGTCTTCCAATAAGTGTATGTTCTATACCTTCTCAGAGTATACTCTGTTATGTGTTGTATGTAGAATATACAATGGGAATAATTGTGCTCAATTACTATTCTGTCCAAAGCTGTAGTTTTCTGTCCAATGCTGTAGTTTACCATGTATAGAGTGATAGTCTATAATACATGCATAGGACAATGACTAACATATTCTTACAATATGTCCTTTGAAGGGGAATATTTTGATTAATTTATGATGTGGTAGTAATAAATACTTAAAATAACACATGAACACACTAATATAAGCACTGATTTCATTATTTTATTTTATTTATTTATTTAAAGACAGAGTCTCACTCTGTCACCCAGACTGGAGTGCATTGGCATCATCATGGCTTGCTGCAACCTCAACCTCTTGGGCTCAGGTGATCTTCCCATCGCAGCCTCACAGGTAGCTTAGACTACAAGTGTGTGCCACCATGCCCAGCTAATTTGTTGTGATTTTTGTAGGGTTTTGCCATGTTGCCCAGGCTGGTCTCAAACTCCTGGACTCAAGAGATCCACCTGCCTTGGCCTCCCAACGTGCTGGGATTACAGCTGTGAGCCACGATGCCTGGCTTTTGTTTCTTATTCATAATATCTAAGAATTCTAATTTACTGTCAATGGTTATTGCTTTATGAAATCTCAGTAACAAGAAGCAAAGAAAATGAGTTTGGTAAATGAGAATCCTCAATACATTACCAATTTTTCTGCTCATAAGTCCTCTTGTTTGAACAAACGGGAAGCATTATCATGAAAGTCTCTTCTGATGATAATTCCACTGTCATTCTAATATCTATCAATGATTGAAATACAGTATAAAAAATGAGAGTAACTGATGACTAATAAGATAGTAGAAGACCCTTAAAATATTTTTATTCCTCTAGTACAGGTGGTTGACAATGGGGGTCTTAAAAAAATGATTCTACTAATTCTCAAGATTTCTAGAAATGCTTCTTAAGAAGTAACCTTTACGGTATATCCTTCAAATTAAAAGCAAAGTGCCTTAAGAACGAAGCAAAATCGTGTTCCATAGGAATAAGTTTCCTCCACTCACCTGTATGAATACAGGTATCAGAAAGATTAAAATTTGCTTCTTTCTGTCATTGACACAACTACTCTGCTTATTCTTGCTTAGTTATTTCAGTACCCATGACAGTGTTCCAGCACATAGCTGAGTATGTGGACAAATTAAGAACACAGAAATTACTATATTAATGAATGAATAAATGAATGAAAAGTTGAGGTGTAAATTCCTAGGAAGAAAGGCAATAAGATAAATCCACTTTTTTTTTCCCTCACATAGGCCTTGTTTGAACACAATAATTACATGGCCTGAGGCCCTCTCTTTGACAATACTTCATTGTTACTTAAAGAGGTCTTACCTAGTATGTAAACTTCATTTGTCTGATCCATTTAACCTCATGATTTGGGAGATACAATGGTTCTCAGAATTGTAATATTTTGATGGCATGAAACAATATTTGATACATCTGAAGGATTATAAGGCTAATGAGTAAGAATAACTGTATGCTCCACTTCAGGTGATTTGTATGATATAGGAGTTAGCAATCTAGTTCTTGTCTTTTGTTTGAATAAGTTAACAAATATTCCTACAGTATCTACTGAGTACAAGGCCTGAGCCAGATGGACCCTGTTAAGGACTCTTGAACAAGCAGAACCAAAAGCATTATAGAAAAAAGGTAGAAATCTAAGAGCAATTGAGATGGTGACACAAGATCAATTGAAATATTCTTGGCCGGGTACGGTGGCTCAAGCCTGTAATCCCCGCACTTTGGCAGGCCGAGATCCGCACATGGCGGATCATGAGGTCAGGAGATCGAGACCATCCTAGCTAACACGGTGAAACCCCATCTCTACTAAAAAATACAAAAAAACTAGCCAGGCGAGGTAGCGGGCGCCTGTAGTCCCAGCTACTTGGGAGGCTGAGGCAGGAGAAGGGCGTAAACCCGGGAGGCGGAGCTTGCCGTGAGCCGAGATCCGCCCACTGCACTCCAGCCTGGGCGACAGAGCAAGACTCCATCTCAAAAAGAAATATTCTGCAAAGCCAAGAATGAAGTTAGACACTTTTCATTTTAGTCTGCTGACAAAATTAAGCAATATAACGTCACAAAATATTAGATTTGTTAATTATATATTTGTCTATTTTATGCTTAAGTGTATCTACACTAAATGTTAGATTAAATGCAACGTGGTGTTAGTATTAGACGGTAAAGTCATAGCTGAAAAACCAGTGAAAGCAAATAGAGTCTATAGTTTAGTTAACAATATTCTAGCAATATTAACTTTTCTTCGTTTTGAAAAATGGTTATAAAAGACGCTAACATTCGGGCAAACTGGATAAAGGTTACATGGGATCCCTTTTGGCTATTTTGTAACTTTTCTGTAAATTAAAAATTTCTTCAAAATAAAATTATTTAAAACTCTAATTAGAACAACTGTATATTAAACTTTTTTTTTGTAACCCTCATTACTTTGTATTAAAATATTTTTAAAACCAAATTGTGAGTCATGTCAGTGGCTTATTTGGGACTTTACTCAAGACTCTTTAATGCCACTGACTTTAATGGTTTGCCCATATATCAAACTGAGCAACCCTGAGAAGACATCCTTTCCTCATCATGGCAGAAGTACTAGTATTTTCCCACAATGACTTCTGCCTTAGGTCTGAATAGTGTCCTAAACATTTTGCCTCATGTTCATTTTAGCTCACATTTTAAAGGGGACAGTTTCCAGTTACACAATGTTTCTTTTACTATCTGGTAATGAGATTTATCATAAATACTTCAGGCTCTGACCACATTTTGTCAGAGGTAAATATTATGCTTTCTTCTTTGTTTACAGTACACAATGATCCTCATCATTCTGAGATATTTCTATATCAATCTCTCTTTTTTTTAGTTGCTGTGATCATTTCTCCATGTATATGTTACATGAAAGAAAAGTATTTGAGATTGTGTTCACTAACAAGAAATAGGCATTGGAAAATAAGTACATTGGGCTCAACACTATTCTGACACAATAGGAAGACCTAGTAAGATAGTAATCTTAATGGCAGCAAATGTTATTAACATTAAATTAAAAACATCTACACAGCAACAACCTAATGTTCTGATTAACGAAGGTATGAACACTGATGGAAATCAGTATCTGTTGCTGGTGTTACTATTCAATGTTAATACACAGAGGGAAAATACAACTATTGCAGGTTAAATGATAACTACAACTTTTCTGATTGGTGATTGTAAGCAGGAAGTCCAGTAGCAGCAAAGTAATCAAGACAGGGGTTTTCATATCATATCTTTCTAAATAATCACTGTCCTAAGTGAGGGGTGGAAGACACTGTCACATTGAGGTATTGTAGCAGGACGAACTGCAGGCAAAACTTCTCAGACACCAAGATGTAGAAGGGAGGGCTTTATTCAGCTGGGAGCATCAGCAAGCTACTGCCTTAAAATCCGAGCTCCCCAAGTGCACAATTTCTGTCCCTTTTAAGGGCTCACAACACTAAATATTTCATATGAAAGGGTTGTGATTGATTAAGCAATTTAGGGGATACTGACAGGGGTTTCATGCACTGGTAGAGAGAAACAGAACAGGGCAGGGAGTTTCACAGTGTTCTTCTATACAATGTCAGGAATATCAGTTTCTAAGTCATAAGTTGATTTTTAACTACTGGGTTTAGGCCAGGCAGACCCAGGCCTGGGGCTGGGCTGCCTGTCTTTGGTTTTACTTCATTGTTTGTTTTTTAAAACAGGTACTGAGTATAAAACAATACAAGAGGGTCTCTCTCTTTCCTCAGTATTAGTTTTCACGGTGCTATGAAGAACTGCACAGACTGGGTAATGTATAAAGGAAAGAGGCTTAATTGACTCACAGTTCCATATGGCTGGGGAGGCCTTAGAAAACTTACAATCATGGGGGAAGGGGAAGCAGAAACAAGCACCTTTTTCCCATGGCAGCAGAAGAGAGAAGAACGAAGGAGTGACTTCCAAACACTTATAAAACCATCAGCTCTTGTGTGAACTCCCTATCAGGAGAGCAGCATGAAAGAAACCGCCCCCCATGATCCAATCACTTCCCTACCTCCACGGTGGATGTTACAAATTAAGATGAGATTTGGGTGGGGACACAGAGCCATATCATATCAGGATGTGAAAGGATTCTAGGAATTACGCGTTTTGGTTGTTAAGAATTATACAGCTAGCAGCCTTGTGCAGGGCCGTTTACTTCAGCTGCATACGTTTTTTCGCTGCATGAGGGGCTGGGGAGAGCTACTCTCTTCCGGTCCTGAAAAATAATCAAGACAGTGAGGGGTTTTCACATCGTGTCTTAGTTCTCACAAAGGCACGCTTCAAATGACGGATAAAAACCCGTCTTCCCGACTTCAAGAAGCTTCTTTCTCTTACTGCACAGGAGTCCTCTTACAGAACTCAGATCCTGACATTATTTTCAATAAAATTTTGTGCCGCCGCAAGTTTTAAATTTATTGTCTCCTGGAAGCTTTGGCTGAAGACTACTCAGCTCGTCACTGAATTAATGGCTTTGGGGGTTCTTTTTCCCCAGTTGAGTTTCTGTGTCTTTTACGCGTTTGGTTTTATGGTCCGTTGGAGGTTTTTTCACGCTGAGGGTGAAGATTCTTAGTTTCAATTAGCATAAAAGCTGCTCCAAGGCCGCTGGGTCTTCAGTTCCATTCTATTCAAAATATTAATTCCTGAGGCACGCAACCTGCGCCCTACTGTCCTTTGTCCCACCGCTTCTCGAGATTATCTTCGTGTTTTAAGAGAGAGAACGCCTTCCCGCCACACCCGTGGGCTGCAACGCACAGCGCATGCGGCTGTTCGCTCTGGAGAGCACCACAAAACGCATGCGACAGTCCGCCGGCGTGGGCGGAGGAGAAACGCGTCGGCGCCCGGCGGTGACGTCAAAAGGCCGCGCTGTACTTCGGCTTGTGCGGCTTCGGCAAGAAGGTTTCCTGGTCTGTTGCAGCCATGGTCCATTGCAGTTGCGTGTTGTTCAGAAAGGTCCGTGCGGGTCCCCTCAACCTGGTCCCCTTAGCGCTGACGGCTGTAGTTCTCCCTTGCTCACCTGTCTCTCCACTACTTTCTTTGTGGCGGCCTCTTGCTTGCTTGGTTTTCCCATAAACTTCTCCGCCCCTCCTGTAGTCGCGCTTTGCCAGTAAGCGGTGATAATGGTGTGTGTACCTGGCGTGGTTAGGACGGTTGTTTGAGGGCAGGGTTTGAAGTTCTTTAGAGACATCGTGTGCACGTGGCATGAGGAACTGTGATACCTGCCTGCTGTGGCCCAAATGTTGTGGTTTTTTCTTCCTTTAAGTAATGTCTACAGCGTGTTTTTATATATTTCTCCTTGAGTGCACTGTTTGTTTTTCTAATGGATTTTTATGAAGACACGAGAGCGTTTAATTGATGTGCCTTCTTGCAGAACATTTAGGTCGATTTTTGTGTAGTGTCGGTCTTAAGAATCGTTTCCGTAAAAATTTACAACAGCTTTGAATTAAAAAAAAAACAAAACCTTACCTATTAGTAATGTTTTGTGAAACGTTACCTGCGTCATGTTTTGACCATTACTTTATTTCTAACGACCAGAGTAAAATGCTCCTTTTAAATAAGGCTCCTAAGCCCCTGAATCTGATTTATCTAGAGCAGGAAAAAAGTGTTATATATTTAATGGAACTGTAGAAACTCTCCTCGAGTATATCAGAATGGTCAATATTTCAACTTTTTTGAAAAAAAAAAAATCCCAGATGTTTTTGGTAATTGCTATCCTAAATGACTAGAGATTTGGATTATGAATTTAAGAAATTGCTCCGTAAGTTATTTTAACAGCCTAAGAAGTTAATACATAAGTCCTTTACCTACAAGAAATTCTTGAGTCAGTGAAGGAAGCAGGTAAACACTAAATGCAGCGTAAGATTTATAAAGGTGTAAGATAGAGATTTAATCAAATTGCTGGGAGAGCCAGCAAAGTCAGAGAATTGATTAGAGGAATTTAGAAAGACATTAGTAAATATGACATTTAGGTGGATTTATGATAGGAAAAAGAAATGACATTCTAAGTAGAGGAAAAGCGTGAGCAGAATGGCATGTAGAAATGGCAGTATTTCATGTAGTACAGAGCAAAGAGGAAGAGGGAAGGGTTGAGCAAAAGAAAAGGATACAGGAAGGAGCTAGGCATGGTAGGTGAGCCTGCTGTTCTAGCTATTTGGGAGGCTGAGGTGGGAGGATCCCATAAGGCCAGGAGTTCAAGACCAGTCTGGGCAACATAGCAAGACCCCATCTTTAAAATAGTTGGGTTGGTGGTGTGGTACCTGTAGTCCCAGCCATTCCGGAGGCTGAAGTGGGAGAATTGCTTGAGCCCAGGAGTTTGAGGCTGCAGTGAGCTATGACAGTGCCACAGCACTCTAGCCCAAGCAACAGAACCAGATCCTGTTTCAAAAAAAAAAAAAAAAGATAACCAGAAGGGTATTTTAGTAGCTTTGGATATACAGTTGACCCTTCAAGAACATGGGGGTTAGAGGTGCCCCCCCCCAGTTGAAAATCTTCGTATAACTTTCAACTCCCCCCAAAAACAACTACTACTAATCTTTTGGCTGGAAGCCTTACTGATAACATAAGCAGTCAGTTGACACATATAAGTTATATATATAGTATATACTGTATTCTTACAATAAATTAAGCTAGAGAAAAGAAATTGTTACTAAGAAAGTCATAAGGAAGGGAAAATACATTTACTGTTCATTAAGTGGAAGTGAATTGTAAAGGTCTTCATCCTTATAGTCTTCATGTTCAGTAGACTGAGGAGGAAGAGGGGGAGTTGGTCTTGCTATATTGGGTGGCAGAGGCAGAAGACGTGGAGGTGGAGGAGGTGGAAGGGGAGGCAAGAGAGGCAGACACACTATGTATAACTTTATGGAAGTACATCGCAATTTCTGTCATGCTTTTGCTTTTCTCTTTCCCCCCCAAAAATGTTTCTATAGGGTACCAGTACCTCTTCCACCATTTGCTTTAGTTTCAGTGCCTGTTTCACAGAAGGATCCACGTCATGAAAGAAGTCAAAAGCGGTCCTGAATAATAGGAGCCCTCCTGCCAGATTGTCTAATGTTAGTTTTTCTGATAGTTTATTCTGTGTTTTCTTCCTTGTTATCTGGTACTGGATCTGAAGCACTCATCAAGCTGTCTTCTTTTAATTCCTCTTGTTTGTTATCTGTTAGCTCTTGAGTTTCTTCAAGATCCATGTCGTGAAGTCCTTTACCCACTCTCCTGCCGTTTTTGGCATATCCACAGTCTCTTTCATGATTTCCTTAATTGACTTTGTTGTAAATCCTGTGACGTTACAACACAACACCTAGACGAAGTTTTCCCCAGCACGAACTTACTGTTTTGGGCTTATGGCTTTCATGGCTTTTTCAATAACAATGACATTTTCAATGATGTAATACTTCCAGACTTTCCTGAAGTTTTCTCTGTCGGTGTTCTTTTCCATAGCTGACAATCCTTTCCATAGAATATCATGTTTAACGAGCCTTAAAGGTCCTTGCGACCCCCTGATCTAGAGGCTGATTTAGAGACATTGTGTTTGGGGGCAAGGACACCACTTCGGTGCCTTTGGTGTTGAACTCATGGGGTTCTGGGTAGCAGGGAGGGGAGGCACTGAGAACTTTGTAAGTCAGTCTCGTATTGGGAAGGTACTTCCTGACTTCAGGGAGAAAGCATCCATGGAACCAATCCAGAGAAAAGGTTTTTTGTTCTCTAGGCCTTCTTGTCCAACTAAGACTGGCAGCTGATGTTTAGCTTTCCCTTTCGAGATTGAGGGGTTAGCAGCTTCATAGATAAGGACAGTCCTGATTATAAACACAACTGCATTTGCACAATACAATAGGGTTAGCCTATCCCTTCCTGGGTTAAATCCTGGTGCTCACTGCTCTTCCTTACTAATGTCTTTTGTAGCATGTTTTCCAGAATAGGGTACTTTTGTCAGCATTAACAACCTGATTTGGGAGATACTCTTTCTCAGTGATTTTCTCAATGGCGTCTGGGAACTCATCTGCTGCCTGTTGGTTGGCAGAACCTGCTTCTCCTGTTATCTTGTATTTCTAAAGCCAAAGCCAAATCGATTTCTTCTTTTTTTTTTTTTAATTATACTTCAAGTTCTAGAGTACATGTACACAACGTGCAGGTTTGTTATATAGGTATACATGTGCCATGTTGGTTTGCTGCTCCCATTAACTTGTCATTTACATTGGGCATTTCTCCTAATGCTATCTCTCCCACAGCCCCCCACCCCATGACAGGCCCTGGTGGGTGATGTTCCCCTCCCTGTGTCCAAGCGTTCTCATTGTTCAGTTCCCATCTATGAGTGAGAACATGTGGTGTTTGGTTTCTGTCCTTGTGTTAGTTTGCTCAGAATGATGGTTTCCAGCTGCATCCATGTCCCTGCAAAGGACATGAACTCATCCTTCTTTATGGCCACATAGTATTCCATGGTGTATATGTGCCACATTTTCTTAATCCAGTCTGTTGTTGATGGATTGGTTCCAAGTCTTTGCTATCATGAATAGTGTCACAATAAACATACATGTGCTTGTGTCTTTATAATGGCATGATTTATAATTCTTTGGGTATATACCCAGTAATGAGATTGCTGGGTCAAATGGTATTTGTAGTTCTAGATCCTTGAGTAATTCCCACACTGTCTTCCACAGTCAAACGTCTTTCGAAAATTATCAAATCATCCTTTGCTGGCAATTATTTAGCTTTAGATCCTTCACATTCCTTTTGCTTTTAAATTGTCATATAGTAACGTTACTTTTTCTTGAATTGTATTAGTCTATGTTTTTAAAATAGCAATCCTGCATCTGCATAAAAGTTGCATATTCAATACAAGATAAAAAGTTAATTTACAAAAAGTGCAAGGTTTTCACACCTCTTGGCACAGCTGCAGCAGTGGGTTATGAAGTTTTTTCTTTTTTACATTGATTTTTATTCTGGATTCATTTATCTTGAAATAGCAGGCCATCGCAGCTACAGATTTTAATCTGTGGTACGTATCAAGCAATTCGTCTTGTTATTGTAATGTCATGACTTGACTTCTTGGGAGCACTGCCAGCATCACTAGTGGCACTTTGTATGGGTTCCATGGTGTTGTTCGAGGTTTACAGTGTAACACTGAACATGATGAGAAATGCAAGAGAACTGTGAGAGATCACTTTTTACTGACTTACAAAATTTACTGGCAAGATGAACTGCCCATGGAGAGATGAGTAGTATCACATGGCCTTTTTGGTGGCAATTTGGGACACTTGAGCTCATTGAGATAGCTACAGGAGGTAACTACGAAATTATTACAGTATTCCAGGATGTACTACAGTTAATTTTATGCAGTTATGATTTAATACTGCATTTTTACATTTGCTGACATTTCTCTTGACTGCAAATGCTGCCATGTAAGGTCTGCAAGTGTGTGTGTAAGTTGTGATAAATTTTAATTTTTTTTTTTTTTTTGAGACGGAGTCTCGCTCTGTCGCCCAGGCTGGAGCGCAGTGGCCGGATATCAGCTCACTGCAAGCTCCACCTCCCAGGTTTATGCCATTCTCCTGCCTCAGCCTCCCGAGTAACTGGGACTACAGGCGCCCGCCACCTCGCCCGGCTAGTTTTTTGTATTTTTTAGTAGAGACGGGGTTTCACCGTGTTAACCAGGATGGTCTCGATCTCCTAACCTCGTGATCCGCCTGCCTCGGCCTCCCAAAGTTCTGGGATTACAGGCTTGAGCCACCGCGCCCGGCCAATTTTAACTTTTTATAATAGATGTGTGGCCAGGTGCAGTAGCTCATGCCTATAATTCCAACACTTTGGGAGGCCAAGGCAAGAGGATTGTTTGTGGCCAGGAGTTTGAGACCAGCCTGGGCAACACAGCAAGACCCCATCTCTCGTTTTTTTAAAAATTAAAATAGGTATGTGTATATTTTATGGAAGTAAATGACAAAATAGATTAGTATCTGTGTATATTTTTTGCACTCATGACACAACTTTTCTTAACTTTTTTCAGGATTTCCCATCTATGTGGTTTGCAAGATTTTTCAAGTTGTTGCAAAGCTCAAAATTTTCTAATGTATTTATTGAAAAGAATCTGTGTATAAGTGGACACAAACAGTTCAAACCAGTGTTGTTCAAGGGTAAACTGTAGTACTAAGAATTTTTTGCTTTATTTTGTAAGCATTTTTTTAAATGCATGGTTTTTGAGTAAAGGAGAAACGTGATTAGAGATCAGATCAATTTCAGAAAAATACTTCGGGCAACAAATTGGAGAATGCAATAAGGAAAAAATGATTAGACACTGAAAGGAGCTCATGTGGTGCAGGTACTAGGGCAGTGGTACTGGAGAGAAGAGAGTAGGGCTTTGGGACAAGAAACAGGTGTATTCTGAAAGACTTCCATTTGTGTAGTCTCAATAGATAAACCATAGTTCCATTATTTGAGAGAACATTGGAGGAACAGATTTTACCTGGCGAACAGTTTGGTGTTGTTATGTTAACATTTATTTTTGAGGTGGCTATTATTTATTCAACTGATATGTAAGAACAAGTTACATATTAGGGGATTTCACATATAAATTAGATACACATTCTGCTCACATTGCTTTATCCTATTAAAAGATTTCATCCTGATGGAAATGTCTGACAGATTGGACATAGAAAATATCTCACCTAGGTGATGGTTATTGGTACAAGCAGAAATTACCCAGGGGAGAAAGTGTAGAATGAAAACAGTGCCAAGTCAGAAACCCTCAGGATGGGTGGGACAATAGTTGATAACTGAAAAAACTAAAAGGGACTTAAGAGAAATAATCAAATGGGAAAGGGGGTCAGATCAGAGATGTGGAGGTGAGCTAAGAAGATGTTACAGAATTGGCATTTAAAAAGCTATTAACGATTTTTTAAAAAGAAGTTTTGGTGGAAGAAAGAACTAGAAAGCGGTTCCAAGTTGATACGCTTGGTATACAAATGTTTTTTCTCTTTTTTTTTAAGTATGGAAATTTCATCGATAACCTAAGACTCTTCACCAAGGGAGGATCCGGTGGAATGGGTTATCCTCGTTTAGGTGGAGAAGGTGGAAAAGGTGGTGACGTCTGGGTTGTAGCCCGGAACAGAATGACTTTAAAACAACTTAAAGACAAGTATCCTCAGAAACGGTTTGTGGCTGGAGTAGGAGCAAACAGCAAGTAAGTAATTACTGAGTGACTTAAAATTTAGAAAATCAAACCCTTCTGGAAATTTTTTTTTAAGTTATAAAATAAAAACGTAATTGTTCATTTGAAGTAAATTATTTCCTGTATTTATAACTGAGCAAAAGCCTAAAATGTCTCAACTCATAAAAGACTGATACTAAAGAATATTTCAGAGTTTTAAAACTTTTTGTCCGTTTCTTTTCCCGATGTCTATCTGTATTCTTTTTGCACTTTCCCTGTTGAAACCGAAAATTATCTGAATTCCCACTGTTTTTTTCTAAAATTATCTTTGACAACCTTTAAGAAAACTTTCTCAATCTTAACCATGCTACTCCACCCCACTACCATTAGAAGGCAAGATAGCCACTGTTAACCTTTTCTTGACTTTTCTAAGACTTTCTGTGTGTTTACACAAATGCAATTACGTGCATAAAATTTTAGAATACAAAAATGAGAGTACAATATTTTACAATCTGCTATTTTTACTTTTTTTCCCCATGTCAAAATTATTCAGAATACCTGCGTAATAACTAACAATTTATTTTGTCGTTTGTCTATTTAGGCTATTGTTGATTTTTTTTTTTTTTCCGATTATACCTATAGTACAGCATCCTGTGTAGATACTATTTTACATGTTTGTTCAATTATTATTTTGATAAATTCCCAGAAGTAGAATTACTAAAACGTTTGTACTAATTTTTTCTTTTATGAGCAGTTTAAGAGTAGCTAGATTTGCCTTCTTTAATGTAAGTACTTTCCTTCAAGGTTAGTTTTTTAGAAACTTTGCTATTTGGTGGATTTTTTGCTTTTTTATAGATTCATTTTTTTTTTTTTTTTTTTTTTTGAGACAGTCTCATTCTGTTGCCTAGGCTGAGTGTAGTAGGCACTATCACAGCTCACTGCAGCCTCTACCTTTCAGGCTCAAGTGATCCTCCCACCTCTGCCTCCCAAGTAGCTGAGACTACAGGTGTGTGCCACCATGCCCAACTAATTTTTGAATTTTCTTTTTTTTTTTTTTTTTAATAGAAATGGGGTTGTGCTTGGTGTTCAGGCTGGTTTTGACCTCCTGGACTCGAGATCCTCCTGCCTCAGCCTCCCAAAGTGCTGAGATTATAGGCGTGAGCCACCATGCCTGGCTTTTTCGACCTTATTTGTGTTGTAGCAATAATCTCTTCGTTTCATGGTTGCAACATTTTAGTTTCAGATTAAAATGACCTTTGGTGGTTAGCTTAGTGACTTAAATCATTACCCAGTGCCATTTTAATGGGATATAATGTCTAAAATGCAAAGAAATAATTAGGGATAATTTTAGTTTTTTTAAACCTTGTGTTTGACCATTTAACATCTGCATTAACCAGAGAATTGATTGCTACTGTTCTTTGTAACCATTTTGTGTGTGTGTGTGTGTACATACACAAGCATACATATATATATGTATACTTTTTTTTGGTAGAGTTAGTGCACTGAAAGGCTCCAAAGGAGAAGACTGTGAAATCCCTGTGCCTGTGGGTATTTCAGTAACTGATGAAAACGGTAAAATTATAGGTGAGTGTACTATAACTTCGAAGATTGTAAAAATGTGCACATTTTCTAAAATTAAACAATGGAATAGCTTCTCTTGAGTTTCAGAAGTTTTTTAACTGACAATTTTAGTTACTACTCTATAAGAGAGCATTTTTAAAACTTACAAAAGTTAAAATGACTACTAGATTTAAGATTGTTTTAAAGATGTTAGAGTTCTTGCTTGGTCTTAAAATATATAACTAGGCTCTTTTCAATTGCTTACTAAAGTGTTTTTCTGGGGTCAAACTTTCAATAGATTTGTAAAATTGGAATTTCCTGGACTGTTTTTCTGAAAGAACAACATTCCCTTAATGATTCTACTTATTATAGATTTGTAATTGAGAATTTCCTGGCATGTATTTTTGAAAGTAAAATATTACATTAGTGATTCCACTTACTAATCTATAGATTTGTAATTTTGAATTTCCTTGCCTGTATTTCTGAAAGAAATAGATTGCATTAGTGATTTCACTTATTGATCTTTAATGTAAATATTTCTCTCTCTCTTTTTAAGGAGAACTCAATAAGGAGAATGACAGAATTTTGGTAGCTGAAGGAGGTCTTGGTGGTAAATTACTTACAAATTTCTTACCATTGAAAGGCCAGAGACGAATAATTCACCTTGATCTAAAAGTTATAGCTGATGTAGGCCTAGTAGGGTAAGTATCATTCATTTTTTATTATTATACTTTCAGAGAGATAGTTCTTAAATAGGAAATAAACGTAAATGGTAATTTGGGGCCATAATTATTTCAAATTTATGGAATTTGGTTGTTGTGTATGTACTAGAAAAATATGCTGCTAAATATTGTTTTCAAATTACCAACATAGAGTTTCATAGTTATTGCTTATTTGTAAAATTAAGACCAGAGCAATTGAATAGATCAGTGGGAATGTTAGAGAATGCATAAAGAAAAATCAATCAAATGCAATAGTATAAGAAGGTTAAATAATGTTACTGGATATTAAAGAATAATAAATCCAAACAAACCATGTTATTATTAAAAGTATATAGAAGGAAATAAAAAGGGAAAAATGATTGACATAACTCTTTTGGGTCTTTTTTTTTTTTTTTTTTTTTTTGATACAGAGTCTCACTCTGTCACCCAGGCTAGAGTGCAGTGGCGTGATATCGGCTCACTGCAAGCTTGGCCTCCTGGGTTCACGCCATTCTCCTGCCTCAGCCTTCGGAGTAGCTGGGACTACAGGCACCCGCCACCATGCCCAGCTTTTTTTTTTTTTTTTGTATTTTTAGTAGAGACGGGGTTTCACCATGTTGGCCAGGACGGTCTCCTGACCTCGTGATTCGCCTGCCTCGGCCTCCCAAAGTGCTGGGATTACAGGCGTGAGCCACCGTGCCCGGCCTCTTTTGGGTCTTAATAGAGACATTAAAGTATCATTAGTCAAATGGCTAAAGACCAATACAGACAATCTCAATCCTCAGACTTATGCACTGTTGCTGCCAAATTGAATCCTGCTATGACTGTTTGTATATCCTTCTTGCCTCTGCTTAGGATCTATCTAGTCCCAGTACTGTAGACCTCAGAAGAGTGTCCTCTTCCACCAGCCTCCATTCTTTCATTAAATAATGCTGTTTAGCTGTGGAGTTGCAGTGTGACTACTACACTGGAAGGGGATAGACAGCAGGATACAGAATACATAAAGGGGCCGGGTGCGGTGGCTCACTCCTGTAATCCCAGCACTTTGGGATGCCGAGGTGGGCAGATCACAAGGTCAGGAGATCAAGACCATCCTGGCTAACCCAGTGAAATCCCATCTCTAGCTGGGCGTGGTGGCCGGCGCCTGTAGTCCCAGCTACTCAGGAGGCTGAGGCAGGAGAGTGGCGTGAACCCGGGAGGGAGAACTTGCAGTGAGCCGAGATCGTGCCACTGCACTCCAGCCTGGGCGACAGAGCGAGACTCCGTCTCAGAAAAAACAAAAAAACAAAAAAACAAAAAACAAAGGAAGAGAAAAACTTAAATTTGCATTTGCTCTCTCTCCCCCATCCCCCCTGCCTCCTGCCCTCTCCCTCCGGCCCTATCACAGTATTACACAGTTACTCAGATGGAAAGTTTAAGAGCAAGATAAGGAAAACTGCCTTGTTACTGTCCTACTTCAAATTCCTAGTTCTATTTTTTGCTTCCCCATAGCTTCTTTCTAAGTTCTTTCATCTTCCTCTTCAGGCATCTTACTGCTTCTTTACCAGACTCTTAAGTCTGAATCCCTCGCCTTTTGCCCTGCCTGACCAGCCACTAGAACTTACCACCATTGGTTTAGGGTTCACAGAGGCCCCGTTCCTGCTAAAATTATAACAAGAAAGATGTGATCCTGGCTTTCCATTCACATTTATTTTTTTTCAGTAAAGCACAGTTATGAGAGTTATTAGATATAAGTTCTGTAATCCTCTATATTTTCAGGAACGTTACGGGCTTAATAGGGTTTTGTGGACAAGCCTGGCAGTCCAGCGAATCACAATTGCATTTGGCATGAAAATGGGTTTCAAGTTCTGAAGAGAAAACTTTACAGTCTAAGAAGAGCCTAGCACGGCTTAGTCATCAAAGTGGAGTGGCATGGAGGACTCAGCTTAGACTATTTAGGTTAGGATCTCAAATCCTCTGGAGGCTGGCCAGCTGGTCTTGGGTAAATTATACAGCCTCTCTAAGCCTTTGTTTTCTCTTATTTTTTTCCTTTTCTTTTCTCTCATTCTTCCTTCACTGTAGTTTTTTTTTTTTTTCTTTTTTCCACCACGTCATTTGTTTTCTCATCTTTAATAGTGTATCAAGATAGGTCTTTCCTTAAAACGTTGGTGGGTAAGATAATACATTTACAGCAGAAGACATGGTTTGCATTTTTGTACGTTCAATGAATTGTAGCTGCTGTCTTCATCATAATTATATTGCCAACTTACTGGAATACTGCATATAGTGATATACAAAGCTTTTCAGAAGTAGGTTTGAAATTTGTCAGTAATTAAAGCATCAGGATTCTTAAGCATATGAAAAGAGAATGGGGGGAAAGATTTTTAAATGGAATGTTTAACATGTTTTCTAGTGTTTTTAAATTAGGCAACTATTCTTGAAGAGTTACTACTATGAATACTGGCATAAGTAGATATCCTTTTAGCTGGTTTTGGAAATGGACTGAATGAATCATAGAAGAAAGTTATTGTACAACTAACAGATTTGTGCTGCTGTTGTCAAATCTGATCTTTGCATAGGCTGGATTTTAGCTTCTAAAATTTTCACTGGGTATTTTTCAAGAAAAATTTCAAGTATCTGTTCTTCAATCATTAGCATCATCTTTCTATTCATACTTTGATCTTCTTGGAAATGGTTGCTTGCATTATGTGTTCAATCATTATGAAAATATGAGGATGTTGGAAACCAGCAAGTCTAGCTAGTAATAATTATGGATAAAAATGGCTGCAATTTGCTTTTCAAAAGCTCTAAGAACCTGGATAAAACAGGGTATTAAAAAAACATATGTTCCAAGAGAAACAAGTCATTAAGAAACCTCACATAATTTTATTTTAAATTCATTACAGAAAGATTTTTTTTAAATGAGGGAAATTGTTGAAATACCTCCAGCTTATAAGTTTTTATAGAATTCTAAATTAATATTTGCAGAATATTCCACCATTATTCCAAGTGAAAGTTTGGCAGAGTTTTTGAAATACCTTCTTCAAATTTGAATTAAGAACTCTGTGAAGGCGGGAATCATTTTATCTCATTGCTTAGTATGTTGCCTGATACAAAGACAGTGCTCAATAAATATTTGTTGGATAAATTTAATGAAAATATATGAATGAGATTTAGGAATGAATGTTTTAATTAACCCCCATTCCTAGTACTGTCTTTCATACATGGTGGACCTTTCTTGAGGGAAATTTAACAGTATAATCAAAAGCCTTTAAAATGAGCTTATATTTTATCCAGTATTTCTTCATGTAGACATTTATTCCAAGAAAGAAGTCAAAGATGTGTGCAAAGAGAAGTCCTAGCCAGAAAAATCAGGCAAGAGAAAAAAAGGGCATTCAAATAGGAAAGAAGGAAGTCAAACTATCTGTTTGCCAACCATATGATCTTATACCTTGAAAACCCTAGAGACTCCTTCAAAAGACTCCTAGATTTGATAAATGAATTCAGTAAACTCTCAGGTTACCAAATCAGTATACACAAATCAATAGCACTGCTATACACCACCAACAACCAAGCTGAGAATTAAATCAAGAACTCAATCCCTTTTACAATAGCTACAAAAAATAAAATACCTAAGAATATACCTAACCAAGGTCGTGAAAGATCTCTACAAGGAGAACTGCAGACACTGCTGAAAGAAATCGTAGATGACGCAGACAAATGGAAATACATCCCATTTTCATGGATTGGAAGAATCAGTACTGTGAAAATGACCATACTGCCCAGAGAATCTACAGATTCAATGCAATTTCTGTTAAAATGCCAGTATTATTTTTCACAGTATTAGAAAAAAACCTGAAATTCATATGGAATCAAAAAAGCCCGAATAGCCAAAGCAATCCTAAGCAAAATGAACAAATCTAGAGGAATCATATTACCAGACTTCAAATTATATTACAACATTATAGTAACCAAAACAGCGTGGTATTAGTATAGAATTAGGTACATAGACCAATGGAAGAGAATAGAGAACCCAGAAATAAAGCCAAATACTTAAGACCAACTGATCGTTAACAAAGCACACAAAAACAAACTGGGGAAAGGATACCCTATTCAAAAAATGATGCTGGGAAAATTGGATATCCAAATGTAGAATAATGAAACTGGATTCATATCTCTCATTATATACAAAAATTAACTCAAGATAGATTAGGTTTTAGTCTAAGACCTGAAACTATAAAAATTCTAGAAACGTAGGAAAAACCCTTCTGGACATTGGCCTAGACAAAGAATTTGTGACTAAGTTCTCAAACCAAATGCAACATAAATAAATAAATGGGACCTAATTAAAGTAAAAATCCTCTGCACAGCAAAAGAATCAACAGAATAAGCAGCCTACAGAATGGGAGAAAGTATTTGCAAACTATGCATCTAACAGAGGACTAATATACAGAGTCTACAAGGAACTTAAATCAGCAAGGAAAAAACAATTCCATACTCGGGAGGCTGAGGCAGGAGAATGGCGTGAACCCGGGAGGCGGAGCTTGCAGTGAGCCGAGATCTGGCCACTGCACTCCAGCCTGGGCGACAGAGCAAGACTCCGTCTCAAAAAAAAAATAATAATAATAAAAAAAAAAAAAAAAAAAAAAAAAAAAGTGGACGAATGACATGGGCATTTCTCAAAAGAAGATAGGCATACAAATGGCCAAGAAGCATATAAGAAAATGTTCAGCATCACTAATACTCAGGGAAATGCATACTAAAACTACAGTGATTACCAACTTAGCCAGAATGGTCATTATGGAAAAGTCAAAAAACAATAGGTATTGACATAGATGTGGTGAAAAGAGAACTCTTATACCTTTTTTTTTTTAATTTTTTTTTTTATTACACTTTAAGTTCTAGGGTATGCACAACATGCAGGTTTGTTGCATAGGTATACATGTGCCATGTTGGTTTGCTGCACCAATCAACTTGTCATTTACATTATGTATTTCTCCTAATGCTATCCCTCCCCCAGA